CCCTCATGACTTGCGGACTTCAACTCCCAGAATTCCTGAGCCAGCCATGCTGAGGGGAAAGGGAGAGGTTTCCAAGCTGAGCCAGGCTGGCTCAGGAATTCTGGGAGTTGAAGTCCGCCAGTCCTAAAAGAGCCAAGGTTGCCTACCCCTGTCTTAACCCTTCGTCAAATGGGGCAAAATTCACTTAGCTGTCTCACTTCGCCACAGAAACATTGGGCTCCACTGCGGTCGTAAGCCGAGGACTGCCTTTAGAGAGGGATATAAATGAATAAATCTGGTTTTCAACCCTCACCAACGAACGTAGCTCTCCGGCGCGTGCCCTGATGGCCTCTCCTCTCGCTCCCTAGCCCGCCTCAGCCGCGGATCCTCCGCCCGGGACTGCAAAGCCGCCGTCGCCGTGAGGAGCAGCCAGGACCTGCCCAGCACCAACCCGGCCACAGCGGCCCTCACCGCCCGCTCCCTCAGCAGCAGCAGCCTGCAGAGCAGGCCCTGGCGGTAGCCCGGCACCTTTGGCAAGAATAAAAAGAGAGCCCGTTTCCTGGGGCCGTTTTAACCCGACCGGCCGGGCCCCGTTTTTGCTTTTAGGAAGGTAGTTTGCACGGGGTGGGGGAAAGGGGTGTGTGTGTGTGTGTGTGTGGAAAGGCACGTTTTGGGGGAGCTGATCCCGCTGAGGGCCGTGTTGCTGCACCGCGTCTTCCCTGTCCCCCAAAATCAAGGAGGAAAGGTACAATTTAACTCGAGAACTTCTGGGGAGACCCAGGGAATAAGGATGGCTGGATTGCGCTAGAGAAAAATTAGCCAGGAAGTGCACAGGTGCCATTGGGCCAAGGTTTGTGTTTAAGCAAGCTGGAGGATTTCAGGGCGCAGCCAAAGGGGTTCAGAGGCTATTTACATCCTACACCTGGGAGCTTCCCCATAGTCCGTGGATATACCGGGAAAAGAGCCAGGAAATAGCCAGAGAGTCAGCTTATTTCATGCGTCACCCAATTTGTGCCTGGGATTAGCCCCCAGCGGTGCCAGTTGGCTTTGATGGGGCAGCAGGGCAAGGGTCTCCTCTGCAAAGGAGACCCAGTTGAGGATGTCACAGCTTGTCTGCCCCCCCCAAGGATCCTGGCCACATTGGTCAGTATTGGTCTGAGGCTGGAGCAATGCTTTGGGGGGCTGAGAATCTCGATCCCCAAAGCCCCCATCAGTGTTACGGCTATCTCCACTCCAGAGGCCACCCAAAGGCGTCGTAACGCTGTCATTTGGGTCCTGCTTCATACCATCTTCGCTCAGCTCTTCCCAGGACTCCACTTTCTCACCCCTAACCTAGAAGCTGGGGTGCCCACCACCCCCTCGCCTTTGCCAAGCGCCAGGCTCACGGCCTGTTGTTGCTGGATTTTAATTCCCTTCACTTAACCCCCCTCTGGAGCTGAAAAACGTGCCTCAGCTTACAGTAGTGGCCAAAATTGTGGAAACCTTTTGGGAAAAGTGTATTTTTGAGATTTGATGGCCAATAATACCACTTTTTTGGGGGAGTAGTACCGTAAAATGATATATCAACGGAAAGATAATTTAATCAGGAACGTAATGCATCCAAGTTTGTTCAATTATCTGTACTGTGTTCTATGAAAAATTAGAGCCAAATAACCAGAAAAAGGACGCACCGCTTGCTCAGGTTGATCTCAGGTAGCTTTCCTTCACCTGATTGTAGCCAATGAGCCTGAGTGTTTAGAGAGCCAATCGGGTGTCATCTTGTTTTGGCCATGAGCCAATCAGATCACAGGAGGATCCAGTTATTGATGTCCTGGATTGAAGCTGAGAGGAGGACATTTAATAATAATAATAATAATAATAATAATAATAATAATAATAATAATAATAATAATAATAAATTTGGAAGGGACCTCGGAGGTCATCTAGTCCAACCTCCTGCTCAGGCAGGAAACCCTATACCATTTCGGACAAATGGCTGTCCAGTCTCTTCTTAAAAACTTCCAGTGTTGGAGCATTGACCGCTTCTGGAGGCGGGTTGTTCCACTGGTTAATTGTTCTCACTGTCAGGAAGTTTCTCCTTAGTTCCAGGTTGCTTCTCTCCTTGGTCAGTTTCCACCCGTTGCTTCTTGTCCTGCCCTCTGGCGCTTTGGAGAGTAGCCTGACTCAAAGTAATGGTGCAAAGAGTTGACTGGTTGCCCAGAAAGCGATATAAAATAGTATTATTAAGTGAACAAGGCTGCAGTTATAAAGAAATTAGAAGGAAAATGCGTGGAAACTTATCCAAAGGTGGCATTTCTACGGTACACTTTTCCCAAAGGGTTTCCACAAAAGGCTCCACAGTAGAGCAGGGGTCTCCAAACTAGGCCCTCTTGAAGACTTGTGGACCTCAACTCCCAGAATTCCCCCAGCCAGCATGGGGAATTCTGGGAGTCGAAGTCCACAAGTCTTAAAAGTTGCCAAGTTTGGAGACACACCCCCTGGCTTGGCGGAAAAAAACGGCGGGGTCTTAGCCTCCCACCGGAGAGATTTCCCCTGGATTAAGAGTGCAATGGTCCAAATAGATTTTTCTGAGATAAAGTTATCCCCGTTCGTTGTCCTGGGAAATCTCTGTCCCATACCTGCGCCAGGTGCTCTCTGCCTGGAAGGCTGCCTTTTGTCTTGGCCACTGCTGCAGATCTGCCCTTGTTTCACAGGAAGCCAAACCTGTTGAATTTCAACCTCCTCTAAAGCAACTTTTTTTGCAGAAGTGATAAGCAAACAGGTGGGTCAAATTCGGCGGTGCCTCCTTTAGTGCCCGGATCTGATTCTCCAAGACAGTGCTTTTTTTTTTTTTCAACCTTGGCCGCTTTAAGAGGCGTGGACTTCGACTCCCAGAATTCCCCAGCCAGCTTGTCTGGCTGGGGAATTCTGGGAGTCGAAGTCCACGCCTCTTAAAGCAGCCAAGGTTGGGAAAGGACACCAGGATCTTTTAAAGACACCCCAAGTTTGCACATCAAAGGCCCAAACTCAAAGAGGAACCACCTCCATCACCCCACTTCTTCTCAAGGTACCCCAAGTCCTTGCCAGCTTCGGAGAACAACGTCACGGTCCTTACAATGACGCCCAGACTGTGCTTCAGGGGGGGAAAAAATATTTAAAAAGGATGGAGGCTTGACACCTTCCGATCCTACTCATCTTCCCTCATCACCTCCAACGCGATAAGCAGCCCCGTGTTTTTCACCCCCTCTGTACAGATTTGTAAAGATGTTTATTTTTATATTAACTTAATCATGTGTGGTTTTTAAAAGACTTAAGAAGGTTTTGTTTTGGGTGTCGTTGGGTTTTGGGGTTCATGTTTCTCATTTTCTGCTGCATTTCCTCGGTCTGCAGGCCCCAAATCTTTTCTTTGTGAGATTTGATCCTTTTTGGCTACAGAACTATTTACTTCTCAGTTATCACAAACCAGGGTCTGCTCGGAGACAGGACCTATAATTTATTGCTTGCTTTTTGTTACACAGTTGTCCATTTGGTTATTCGAATTAGGACCCGGAGCAAATGAGCTTTTTAGGACCTAGATAGATGAGCAGCTACCCGTAATGGCATCCCAGGCTGAGGCTTCTGGGCTGTGGCTGGCTTTTTTCCCAAATCAGGGTGTGTCTACCAGCTGTGCTGAAGACCTCATGAAGCCTCAAGGATGCCTCTTCCACCCGACCTCGCGATTCCCTTCTTCCCAGATTCCTGATCCCACCATCCTCGACCCAGTGGCAACGCCTTGGCCGTTGGAGCTGAGGTTTGTGTGAATATCATGTCTTTATCACGATCGGGTTGACGGCTTGTGGTTTGATGCTGGTTTATCTACTGCTTCCGTCTCGTTTCTCAGTGTACTAAATCCACCTCTTATAATTGTCCAGGTGAACTCAAATCAGCGGTGTCTTTTCTTCTTAGCTTAGAGTTTTGGTGCGTCTAAGTAGCGTTTCTTATGTTTTAAAAAATGTGCATTATTTAATGTAAATTGTTAACGCAGTTGTCGCTGCGAAAGTCAAGCTGTGCGTGGGAAGTGACCCCTCCAAACTACAGATTTTGGCATTTTGGGGAAACTGAGAAAAATTTAATCTGAATTGTTGAATACGCCTCTCTTGCTTGGTAAGCAAAAGTAAAAAGGGTCTTCAGCCTTGGCCAGTGATTTTCTCCCCCCCCCCCTACACACACACACACACACACAATTTCTTGGGGTTGAAATCAACGTAGCGTATGCAATAGAGAGAGAAGCGCCGGGTTCGATTCTGTGGCGGTCGTTTGATCGGAGTAACGGTGAAAACCTCTACAGAGCTTTGGAAAGGATGTCGCACACTCCATTCAAGACCCACAACCTCTCTAGAAGTTGTCGCGCCTCGGGCTCGTATCCGGAACCCTTTCCATAGGACCGAGCCTGCTTTTTTGGCGCGACAGCGTGCAGGATTGTGTGTTTCGTGCCTAAAGTTTGCACAATGGACTGAACCTCTGGTGTAGCAGAAGGACAGACGCCACCTCCCGGATTCTTTGACACCCCCCCCCCAAAAAAGAACCTTTTTAAAAAATCTTTTTGTGTTGGAAGACCTGAGCTGCTCGGTGGATTTGTACGCTTTACTCGTTAGGCTAATTAATTACGGCTGTTCCTGCCGCTCGTTAGCGCTGATGTTTTTGTGCTGTGCTGTGTCTAGTTTGCACTTTATACGGTTTGCATCTTAATAAATACAGAAGAGTGTGCTGTTATTTTTTTTTGCAGGCTTATAGAGTTTGCCCATCTGGTAACTATAGGACAGGGCTTTTCAACCAGTGGTACAGGTACCACCTGTGGTACATTGGCACCTGGCAGGGGGTACGCGACCATCCTAGAAAAGTGGTTAGTAGGGGAGGGCAATGAGCTGAACCAGTGGCACCACACAAGCCTGAGTGAGAGACGGCTGGAGCTGCAGGGCTGTCGGGGCTCAGCGGAAGCGCCAGGATCAGCGCCAGGCTCCAGCTAGAGCTCGGCGCTGATCCTGGTGCTTCCTCTGAGCCCAGAAGAAGCGCCAATCAGCTGGAAAGCAGCACTGATCCTGGTGCTTCTGCTGAGCCCTGAAGAAGAGCCGATCAGCTGGAATGTTGCAGCATCTCCAGGGTCTTGTGATTTACATTCAGATGCTTGGCAACTGATTCATATTTAATAATAATAATAATAATAAAGTTGGAAGGGACCTTGGAGGTCATCGAGTCCAACCCCCTGCCCAGGCAGGAACCCTACACCATTTCAGACAAACGGCTGTCCAGTCTCTTCTTAAAAACTTCCAGTGTTGGAGCATTCACNCCCTTCCCTCCCTCCCTCCTTCCTTCCCTTCCTTCCTTCCTTCCCTTTTCTTCCTTCCTTCCTTCCTTCCCTCCCTCCCTTCCCTCCTTCCTTCCTTCCCTTTTCTTCCTTCCTTCCTTCCTTCCTTTCCTCCTCCTCCTCTCCACAAACCCCACTCCCTTGTAGCACTGCACTGATGATGTTATCTAGCGAGGTCATGAAACATCTGAAAGAAAACCCCCAAGCTCAGAGAGCACCACAGACATCAGACATCCGATTCTCTCTCCAGCCCGGTTCCAGCACGGCACGGAAAGCGAGGCAGCAGCCCTACATGCGTCCCCTTGCGCAAGTGCGCCCCCGCCCTGCCAGGCAAGCGGAGCCGCGGCATCTTTGGCAGAAGAGCGCAGGCGGGCAATGGAAGGCACGAGGAGTCTCGATCCCTGCACAGCCCCTCCCCACTCTCCCCCCCCTCGGAAGAGCTGCGGGGCTCAGAAGCTGCCCCCCATTGCCCCCCACCCGATGAGCAAGATGCCCTCCTGCCCACTGCCCCACCCACCAGAGCAACATCGAGCTGGCCATGCCCACCCAGTCTGCCATTCCCACCATAGCCATGCCCACCCGGCGGGCCACGCCCACCCGGCACCCGGCGATACATAAGTGGGTTTTGGGTTGCAATTTGGGCACTCGGTCTCTAAAAGGTTCGCCATCATTGCCCTACACCAGGGGTCCTCAACCTTGGCAACTTTAAGACTTGTGGACTTCAACTCCCAGAATTCCTCAGCCAGCTTTGGAAGTTGAAGTCCACAAGTCTTAAAGTTGCCAAGGTTGAGGACCCCTGCCCTACACCATTTCTGACCCATGAGTCAGTTGACAAGTGTCTTGAATTTTGATCCCGTGACCACGGGGGATGCTGGAACGGTCCTAAGTGTGAGAAACGCTCCTGAGTCCCCTTTTCCAGTGCCGCCGTCACTTCGAACGGTCCCTAAACGAATGCTCCTCATCCTAGGAACTCCCCGCCACCCGTTCCCCTCTCGGGTGGCCAACGGCCTCTGCCTTCCCGTCGGTGGGACTTACAGATGGTGGTGATGATGCTGCCGTATGTGTACTTGGTTCCGTGGACTGATTCCAGCGCGGCCACGGCCTTCTTCGCCAGGGCGTCCTGGGAAGGGACACCGGGAGGGGGGAGGAGAGGAGAAGTCGAGAAGGTTTTGGCTTTAGTTAGGGGTGAGCAGAAGAAGACTTGGGAATAAATAATAATAATTATTATTATTATTATTTATTATTACCCCCAACCTGTTGGGTTGTCCAAGCATTCGAAGTTAGCACTGAAAAAAGTGACTTATATATTTTCATCTTTTGAATAGAATTACGTATAGGAATTTTGGGAGGGTTCTTCTGAGGCGACTTACCAGCTCCAGGTGGTCGGCGGCTTTCTCCTTGGTGTAACCGTAAGGATAGAGGAGAAGCTGGGAGTAGCTGTGGATGGAGACGAAAGCCTTGATGTTGCCATGTTGCCGTACAAAATCCACAATGGCTTTCACCTCCGGTTCGGACTCCGCGTAAGGTCCG